AATTCACATTCTTGTGGTAAAAAGGGATCCAGAGCGAAGGACAGCAATGGAAAAGCTTGCATCATCGAATGCGATAATTTAGAAGAGTTTGTGAGGATTTGTAAACGTGCAACAGGCAGCAGAAATGTACAGTATACTCTTGATTACGTCGAAGTTGAAGTTTTTGATATAGATGATGACTCTGAGGAAACAGAAACACAGCAGAGTATTGCGACGTTACCGGCAGCGTCTGAAATGATCACTTCTCAACAGGAATTAACTGATCAAGTAATTCCACTGCAGACATCAGTGATGGCACCGATTGATGTAATGCAACCCAATGTGGAAGATGAATTACAGGTTTCGGAAAATCTCAATGAGATCACCCGTAAAACGAAAGACAATATCGTTAATGTGGGGCATGAACTGAAAGCAGAAGAATTTGCCTGGTACTTCTTGTTTCCTTATGGAAAGAACGGTTTTAAAGAGCAAAGACTTGTAAATATTACAGCATTAGACTAGACTAGACATTTCAGAACTTTGGGAAGTGATACAAGATTTCAACGCAATGACTATCTCTTTTATGCCTTATCTTTCTTTGAATATTATCGTATCAAAAGCACTATATCAGCATGTGGCAAGAAAATCGTTAATCAAGAAGGAGCAGTCGAAGATGTCCATCTGTATGTGAAAAATTTGAGAGTTTCTGCAGCAAAGTGAAAGGCCACTGGTGGCGTATTGAATTCCAGAATCGGGGGAGTCCTCACCTTCATATGGTGATTTGGATTGAAAATCATCCAGAGTTTGACTCAGAAAGAGAAACTTCTTCTCGATCGTAACTGTTGCTGTAGAATGCTACAGAAGAAGAAGATCCAGAGTTCCACGATCTAGTTAAGAAATGTCAAATTCATCGGCATACACAAACTTGTACAAAAAATAATACCTCTGTAAGATGCCGATTTAACTTTCCACGTCAAGAATATGACGAAACACGAATTGTGTCTCATTCTTCAGATGATTTTCTTCGTAACGGAGGTAGAATTTCTTTACTTAAGCGTCGAAAGGAAGATGCGTGGGTAAATAATTACCACCCAGAGTTATTAAGACTGTGGAAAGGCAACATGGATATCCAGCCGTGCGGATCAAACGAAGCGATAGCGTACTATATAGCAAAGTATCTATCGAAAGCAGAACCTGAAGGCGTAGATTCTGGAATTGTACAGGCAATACAGCAAATTCAACGTGAAGAGACTGATATTTCACGCAAACTGTTCAGAATATGTATGAAGATTCTTCATCAACGACAAGTATCAGCTGCAGAATGTGCGTATCGACTTTGTCATATCCTATTACGGGACAGCTCGCGAAGCTGCATTTTTCTGAATACAAGAAAGCCAGAACAGCGTTACAGAGTATTGCAATTTGACCAAAACGGACACGCAACTGGCTATTATAGCAACATTTTTGAAAGATATGAAAAACGTCCGTTACAACATCCTGACAACGATTTTGCGAACATGAGCCTTACAGGGTTTGCAATGTTGTTTGAACCATTCTATCCGAAAAAGGTAAGCGAGACCGAGGAAAGTGCGGCTCATGATGCCTATGAAGAACATCCAAACACACGTCGCCCACTCATCACCTTGTTAGATAAGAGCAAAATGGTTGTGAGAAATGTTCCCGGCGTTGTGAGGGTGCCATACTTTATAGCAACATCAGATCCAGAAAACATTTTTCTACAGCTTACTCGTTCAATATATGCCTTATCGTTCGGAAACTGAATTACTTGAAGGTTTCAATAACGCAAAAGAGGCCTTCTTAGATTGGGAAAATCGTTTGAAGGAAATGGGTAGACATATGCACCAATTTCGTGAGCGGGACCAATAGCTTGAGAATGCATTCAATCAAGTACATGCATTTGAAATTTTAGAACAGCCAGAGATTATCAATCCTGAACTTGGGGAAGAAGAATTACCAGAGACAGAAATGAGCAATGATCAATTCCAAAGGGACAGCAGGCGATGAATATTGATCAAAAACAATTGTTCATCTTCATTACAGAGAGTATCAAAAATCAACTTAACGGTGATATTAAACGAGAGCAAATTTTTGTAACTGGTGGAGCAGGCACCGGAAAAACTTTCCTCTTTAATCTATTGAAAAACCAAGTTAACCGATGCTATGGAAAATCGGTTGTGAAAATTGGTGCTCTTACTGGAGTTGCAGCACGGTTGGTCGGTGGATCTACACTACACCGTCTGCTAAAACCACCAGTACAAAAAGATGGAGTTATCGGTAGCATGCCACTTCTAACTGGTAATTATCTAAGAGTGATGCGCCAATTATGGCAAAACGTTGAGTTTCTGTTCATCGATGAAATTTGCATGGTACCCTATGAGATGCTTTGCATGATCGACTCTCGTTTGCGTCAACTGAAAAGCCCGGTCGCTTGTTTTGGAGGCATAAATGTTTTACTCTTTGGTGATTTAATGCAGTTACCACCTGTCCGAGGACATCAAGTATTTCAACAACCACAACACATGAAACCCGCTACACATTTGTGGCGGCAATTCCGCCTACCTAATGATATCAATAAAACAGGAGGTCTTCCTAATGTATTGAAAATATTCGTAGGAGCTAAAGTGATGTTAAGTCGAACATTGATGTGTCAAAAAGTTTAGTGAATGGTAACATGGGTTTTATTACAGAAATTGTATGGCCAAATTTTCGCAGGGACCAAGTATATGCGGAAGACATCCCGTCAGTCCGTATTAATTTTGGTTCAGATGGTGAACACGTAATTAAGCCAATATCGATACAATTTTCAGTAAAATACAGCTATGGAACTGCTGAGAGACGAATGTTGCCACTAATCCTGAGTTGGGCATCGACCGTTCATAAGATGCAAGGCTGTACAGTTGATAATGCAGTCATTTATCTGGGCTCTCGGCTGTTTGCTGCTGGACAAGCATATGTAGCACTTAGCCGGTGCAGATCTTTGGACGGTATTCGAATCGAAGAACTTGATTGCTCAAAGTTGACAGGTAAAACTCCATGTAACAGTGAAGCATTAGATGAAATGATTCGATTAAGAAATAATAATTCATAAGAGTCGTCAATATTACTTGGTCACAATTACCAACTATTTGAAACTATTCAAAACATTTTTTTAAGACATGTTACATTATTATGATTATAAAATATCAATCAAACCAATCAGTCAAATCAATTTTTCGAAAATTTTCTAAGTCCACAAAGCTATACGTTTAAATTGAAACAATAAGTATAGCTTTGGGGAATTGACAAAACAATCAACTTTTTAACACGGACAGATTTAATTCAAACTTTCAAGAATGAGCGAGAATATAATAATTTCATAAGTTTATCTCATTATCCTGATTAGGATCGCCAGGATTAAATAATTTCCTCACACAGCTTCTGTGTGAGAGCAAGTAAGACAACCACGCTGTCTGTGCATGCGTACCGTATACTTAATTTCCAGCTCGAGCACTCGAGCATTTAGAAAAAATTTTATTTTTAACAATAAATCGAACTAAAAAATTAAAAATAAATATAGTTTAAAAAAACTAAAAAACACGCTTTTAAAGCATATCAAACTAAAAAGTAAAAAATAATTCTTAATATAAGTTGAAAATAATAATGAACAAAAAATACTAGTATTATTGTGAAAAAGTGTGGGTTGCTCGATAGACGAAAAATATGGCAAAGAGCGCCCCACGCTTTTTCACAATCATACTAGTATTTTTTGTTCATTATTATTTTCAACTTATATTAAGAATTATTTTTTACTTTTTAGTTTGATATGCTTTAAAAGCGTGTTTTTTAGTTTTTTAAACTATATTTATTTGACTACCAAAGTAGTGGTTTTCGTCCGTAATTGAACTAGTATTTTTCTGTCTATTTTGAACTAGTATGAGACTGGTATATTTCTGACCGAAATCTGACAATTGCCATCTCGTAGGACATCCCCATGGCTGACTAGTTGGGCATGCAGTTCATACTAGTTGTGAGTAGTGATAGAACTCGATACAAGTACTCGATACAAGTACTCATAAAGAATACTCTAAAAAAAAAGAATCGATGCCAGTATTCATACTTGCAACAAAGTATCGATAATACTCGTACTTTCAAGTATTCTCAAAGCAAACGCAAAAAGTAAACAAAAATCAGATTGCTTTATTTTTTTACCTCTTCCTATTTGTAAATAGTCACTGCTTTTAAAACTATTAATCTGATCTAAAGGAGTTTTTTGGAATAAAATTCCAATAAGATTGGCCTTAAATGCGTTAATTAAATGTGTGTAGCATAAAGCTTATTTCAAGTTTTTAAAAGCAAATATATTATGATTGTTCGAGGGGTATATGTGTTTATAAATAACTTTACATTGAAAATGAAATGCAAATGTAGAAGACGAGACGCAAATGGGGTGAAGCCCATTCTCTTTTGGAAAGATAAGCTCTCTTTCGTAAAAATTTTCTTCAAGAATGGGCTAGATTTCGAATTCACTACGAAGGTAGAATATATGGGTTAACGACGGGTACTTATGCTGGAGTTCTCGAGTCGGAAGACCACCCTCTTCCACCATTCATTATCAAAGGTGTGGCAAGATATTCGTTTTTCAATTATTTAAATATTTTCAACCGAAGCCAATGTTGAAATGTCCGCTACATTTTCTTCTAGGTTGTGTCAAAAATTCCTAACTGAGTCAATTACCAGTACAACTAGAACAGAATATGTATTAATTGTTAGTATGGAGTATACATATCGTTTCCCGCATGTGTAGAAATGAACATTTTGGGAAATCAAGTTTCAAATTTTTTTTACGAGATTTACATTTGTTACATATGTTACATTTTTTTCGAAATTGACTTTTTACTGTTTTTTTCTTGTGGGTGAAATTATCATAAGCGCTAAGAAATTGGAAAATCAGCAAACCTAAACTTTGGTAAATACAAAAAATACTTTCCTGTAAAATTTGGTTTTTGTAACATACGATAATTTTACGCAAAGGGGTCGACATGTGCTTTCCGTTTACGCGTGGTATTCTGCATTTTGGTATAACATAGAACATGCAAAGGTTAACCAAGTCAACCAAATAGTTCAAAACTGATAAATTTGCACATTCATGCTTCTGACATGAAGGTGACGATATGTGCATTTGAAACTTTAAAGGCGTTTTTCTCGGGGTTTCGGTTTTTTGAGTTATGACAGTACTGAAGTAAATGAGCTTTATATTCACTTCATAACATTGATATTGGAACGTTCGCCACAATATTTATTGGGTAATTAAAAAAAAAAATACATAAAACAGTTCTTAACCAGTGTTGCCAGAGAAAGTCCCCTAAAAATCTTAATTTTTTTCAAAAAAATCTTCAAAACAAGATTTTAAAGCTAAAAAAAAATCTTTTTGATCCCAAAAAATCTTAATTTAAAAATACCTAAAAAGAAACACAAAATTCGATATTGCCTTTAGGGCTGTAAATCAGGGTGGGCAAAAACTCGGAGTTCGAGCGAGCGAGTGAGCAAACTCCTACTCAATGCCATTGTGGAAGAATACAAGTGAGATATCTTAGGGTTGACAGATAGTTGACAGGGTGTTCAATATGGCGATGACAGTGTGAACAATATGGCAGCCAATATGGCATACAACACCGAATGGCCCGAAGTAGCCAAACTACGACCCGAATGAAACGCTTCGTGAAAATCCAGGGTTGCGAAGTGGTATTTTGTTGGAAAATATAAAAGCCAGGATTTTGTGCAGCGCCGAATTTTAACAAAAGAGGGTTTTGTGTTCTCAAGATGAACAGAAAAGGGTTGCTGTGCTGTTTCGTTTTAAGCTTATTTTAATCTTAAGGTATCTAATTAAATATTAAAAGGAGACAAAAATTAAAGCAAAAATTTAAAATATATGTACATATCTGAAAATTATAAATAAAATATATATTTTCACGAGAGACAAATTAAATAAAATGGGTTAACTTTAGGGGAAATATACTTATCAGATTGGGACAGATAGCGCTTTTACGTTATAAATAAAAATAATTCCTACTTAAATTTTATATAATTTTGGTAACGTATTTCTAAGCTGACCCTGAGATCTGTGAAATAATACATATTTATGTGCATATATTGTGTTGATTATGCTCTAAATCGCTAAATAATTCTTGCAGCAATCAGCACCATTGGAAAGTGAAGTGACAATAGGCTGGTTTTCTTTATACAGCCCGTTTTAAATTCGTATTATTGTTATAATAAATTACAATTATTGTTTGTTTCCATTTCGGTCAACCGCGCAAATTATTTGTTAAAAAAATGTCGTTTCAAAATAGCAATTTTGTTTACTTTTGAATAAGACTTTATCGAGTGCGCTATAAAGACAGGGGGATAAATGCTGTAAAGAAATATATGTTGAGTCCAATCGGTTTATTGCTAATCCGGTTTTTGTGTAGGTATAAACAAGGTATATTAAAAAAATAAATCTCCATGAAAAAATATCGTTATTTTCGTATTTAAAATTAATCGGAATTTTATGGGGGGTTATAAAAACTCGTTTTAATTGAAACTTTGTTTTTTCGGCTGTATTTGTTATTATTTATTGGCCCAGATGCAAATATTGAATGAACTAACATATTTTAAATATTTACGGAACTACCATTTGTATGCAACCCTGCCTATCCTGTATTCAAGTAGATGTAATTCGAAAAATTTAAACGGATTTCTTTAAATCAACCTGAGCTGCGGACATATTGCGAATTCATTTTAAAACATTAACCACTACATTATATTAGTATTAAATACTTTCAATTAAGAAACAATTCTTACTAGAAAATAAATATGAATCGGTTTATTTTAAATATTCCAATGTATATTTTTTGTTAATGCAGATAGTGCGGATTTAACGTATTTTATAACCGTTACATGGGGAAAAGAAATTTTAGGCAGATTGTTATTGACAATTTTTACATAATTTACGATTGCAATCAATTTCTTTCAAAACTATAATCTAAATGATTGCAAGTTGTATTTTTTACGATCAAAACAGATTCCAATATTAGGTATATTATGCAAATGCAATCCAATTTGATTTGAGTTATTCAGTTTTAGATACATTTATATTTCTGTGTTCGTATGGAATAGTAGTTTATGTCGGGAAGCTGGCTTTAGTATAATCCGGCATTGCCTTTATTATTTACAACACATGGAATTTTTGATGACCCTTAACAAGAATATGGACGTGCTAGTATCGGAACTATTTCTTGCACGTTTATTTATCCAAAATTTCTTCAACGGCTCGGCGCCAGTGAGGGTATGCTGCGAATGCTGCATTATACTAAAACCAGCCTTTCGACATAAGCTACTATTCCATACGAGTGGAGCACGTGCGAAATGCGGATTTTCCCAGTTGCAGTACAGCAGTAACTCGACACCTTCCTCACCAACCGCTCTGTCCTCTATGAGCTTCTTAATGTAACTGCAAATAAAAGATGAAAATTTGAGAAAAAATACTATCACAGCGTTTCACTTGTAGCGTTTCACTCTTGTAGTATATTGGCTATCAAGCACCAGAAAATTTCCATCACGCATGCCATATGCCACCGATTGTCGTGGATCAATTAAAATACTGTCATCACAGCTTTTTGGTACTCCAGCAACTGGTGTGTCTATGGCGGAGTTATGTGGAGCTGTTGCATGACTAAAATCAATTTGGGCTCTTTGAGAACTGGCTTGTTTGTTGCGCGCTATTGGCATCAAATGTATGCAAATTAGATTTCCAAACGGGCAACTGTTGAATACAGGAAAAAATGTATTTTATATGGTTCCGCTAAAGTGCACTACTACCGTGTATAAATTGGCCGACCTTCTAATAAATCCAATCCTATTGTATCGTCATCGCCGCCAGTCACCAAGAAATTTCCACTTGGGTGAAATGCAACATCATTCTCCGCGACGAATGCACTGTATTAGCTCGCCTTCAGCTTTGTCAAATATCTTAACGCGGTTCCAACTTAATGCTAAAGCCATCAGATTGCCGTCTGGATGCCATGCCAGCTGTCGTCCCATACCTCTTCCCCCGGTGAACGTTCGCATACATTCGCCTGAAAATGTATCGCAAATTCTTAACTTGTCGCCGCACGATGAAATGAACTTACCATTGGGGTTGAATTTTGCTGCGCGCACCCATTTGTGTGTATTTTGAATCAGTATTTTGATGGCTGTTCGCCATTTTTCTAGTCTGCAAACGAATAAGCTGACGAAGAAGCAAACAAATTCAAGCACATTGTTGCATTCTACCGTACATTTTAAAAGCTTTAAAATCTTAAAACACATGTGAAAAACTTTTATAATCTGAATATTTCTAATGTCGCAAGCAAAACCAAATTTTATAAATAGCATTTTTAAAAAGCAATCATCTAATATTTTTCAAGTTTTTGGGCATATATGTTACCATTTGATCAACTAATACTACCAAGTTTTAAGAGACTATTTAATGCAACTCAGGTCATAAAAGCGCACTTTAGACCAAAATAAGCAACTCTAAAAAACAGATGATCGCAGCTGTGGCCCAGGATGACGTCTATTGCTAAGATATCTCACTTGTATTTGTACACAATGCTCAATGCCTCGCAGACAACGAGGCGCTCGCAGCTAGTACTCGTAGCAGCAATGAGGCGAGACACGAGAAGTTTGGCTCGCTCGCCAAACGAGCGAGCGCTGCTTGTTTGCTCGCGCTCCTATTAAATGAGCGAGACTGTTGGGTGTTGCCTCGCTAGCAGTGCGAGGCGAGTAGCTGTCTGCATACTCACTCTGCTAGGAACAGTGTTGCCGCGAAACACTTTTAGTGATAGCTAAATTCCAGCTAAAAAAGGGCTAAAAAAGAGCTAAAAATCGTCGTTGTGGCTAAAAATGGTAGCTAAATTTTTTTACCTACATCTTATACATATATAAAAATAGGTGCACGTTTTTGGTGTGACCTCATAACTTAGAACAGCTCCACCGAATTCAACCAAATTTATGTGGCATATTCGATTTATCATGCAGATGGTTTATGCGAAGTTTTCCCGAATTCGGAAGAGGGGGCGTGGCACCACCCATACTAACTAAAATATAAAAATAAGTGAACGTTTTTGGTGTGACAATATAACTTAAGAACGGCTTCACCGAATTCAACCAAATTTATACGGCATATTCAGGCTATCATGCATATGGTTTATGTGAAGTTTGCCCGAATTGGTAAAAGGGGGTGTGGCACCTTCCATACTAACTAAAATTTTTTTGTTGTATATCTCTTGAAATATTTGTGGTAGAGTACTGGAAGTTGGTATAGAGGTATAACAAATAATTCCATACTCATGGATAAAAATGGGCGGTATTGGAAAAGGGGTCGTGGCACCTCACATCTTATATATAAAGAATAAGTGCAAGATTTCAACCAAATTTATACGGCATAGTCGGGCTATTATGCAGATGGTTTGTGTTAAGTTTCCCCGAATTCGGAAAAGGGGGCGTGACACCACCCATACTAACAAAAATTTTCATCTAGTATATCTCTTGAAATATTTGTGGTAGATTACTGGAATTGGTAGCTATACGTGGCCTGTTCAAGAGTTGGCATTCCAAATTGTTTATTTATTCATACCCAAGATGGAAAAACAAAAAATGTTGTATATCCAAATGTGTTGGATTAAGATTTAAAATAAAGAATCAAAAATTTTGAAATAAAACAAATGATAAATCTTCATATAGAAAAATTCCTTTTCATTCGTTTTTCAATATTTGGTGTACACAAGCACACCGGGGTACTGCTAGTATAAATATGTAAGTATACACGCAAACATTTGCTATAATTACTGGTACAGAAAAACAATGAACTCTGAAAAGAATTAATATTTTATTCAACAAAAAAACTTTTTGTGTAACACATAAAGCATATTAAGGGCCGCCAACTTACCTATTTTAAAGTATAGTTAAATCGTTAACGGATAATAAGGAACATACATAGACATATGTTTACTTGCCTTAGAGGAAAGGCGTTCGCTTTATGAGC